TTGACAATGTAGATCGTGGCTGCTCAGCCCCTCCAAGAATATAGTCCGTAGCATTGCATGGTGAGCAACGACTTTCTTCCAGGAAAGTGTCAATCGGTTGATGTCGGGTGTGCTTTCTGAACCAGATATCTCGAATGTGTCATGTACAGCGTAGAGTGAGCTATCGCGAGAGCGACTGAGTAGAATACCCTGCTGCATTCTGGAGCAAGGGTAGATGTCCTCAACATCATCAAGACTTTGAATACCGGCATCTGGTAGCTTTTTCGAAACCATCGCATCGAGTTCGGTATATGTCATTGTTAACATGGGGAAACTGCTCAGCGTTGGTTTCGGTGGGAAGGTCTGTAAGCGCTCGCCCAGGGATGCCAGCAATTTTTCGCAGCACTTCACCCAATCTCGGATACCTCCCTGATGCTGCATGTTCCTATTGAACGAGAATATAAAGCGAAGTTGATCCTGTACAACCATTGCAGATATCTCGAACAGTGCAAAGCGAGGGGTGTCTTCACCAAAGTCAGCCGCTGCGCCTCCGCGGCCTGTTTCTCCAGCCATCTGGTCCATAAGCTGGAAGAGCCCATCCTTTCTCTGCAAGTCACGATGCTGGCCAACGTAATTGAAAGACATCTCCATCGGGCTATGGTGCCGGCAGGTCCCATCTTTGCGTGGAACCAACATACGACGAGCAAAATCATGTCGACCATTATCCGGAACACAACGTCGCAAGTCCTTGACACGTACAACCGTTTCGACTGGATCTTTTGCAGGAAGATCCGATAGAAGAATGGGATACAATGTGGTAAACCAGCCGATAGTGCGAGAGATGTCTATTGATGAATCCCAGACTTCTCGCCCATGTCCCTCATTGTAGATAACTGGCAATGATCGGTCTTTGAATGTTTCGCCAAACGAATGTAGCAAAGCTGCCAGTAAAAGATCGATTGGCTCCGTTTGAAGACTTTGGTGGCACCCAGTCAGAATCTGGCGAGTAACACCACTATCAAGATCAAACGTTTCACAATCCACATCTCCATAGGTCGTTCGGTGGTTATCTAGTCCCCAGTAAGCAAAATCGGGTGCCGGAACTTCAGGCAAAGTCCTGGCCCGTTCTGCTGTCGCTTCTTGACAACGATCTGCCTGAATTTGGCACCAGTTCTGAAACGGAAGGGAGCCATTCTGTGATGTTGGTTGATCGGGGTTCATCAGTAGGTCTTCCAGGTCTTCCAATATAATCCTCCACGAAACAATGTCGACTACCATGTGATGGGCAACTAATGACAGCAGGCGAGAATTGTCATTTTCATAGAAGATATCGACTACAAGTACGGGGCCAATGAAGGCATCGATGCATGACTGGCTGTTTGAGATCGCATGGTCGACCTCACTTCGGCTGCTGTTGTTGTGAGACCGCCAGCGGTAAGACCCTGCTACATCTTGTGTGATTCGTTGCCGCATTTTCCCCTCAACAAGTGTTTCGACCAGGCGAGAACGGAGCATCGAATGACGACTAATGATGGTCTCGATTGCGCGTCGCATACTATGCTCATCAATATGTCGATTCAGACGTGTGAGAATGCTTTGGTTGAAATGGCCTTGGCCCTCGTTCCGGACCATGAAGTGAAGCTTCTGGATTGGGGAAAGGTCAAACGGCTCATCGATCTTTTCTTCGTACACAACAGACTGATCGATCTGTTTTACCCGAGTGGCCAGCTCCTTGATTGACTTGCTATGAAGTACCTCTTGTACCGTCAAGCCCATTCCTTGCTTCTTACAATACCCGAGACACGTTATGGCGGCAATAGAGTCTCCACCCAGACTCAAAAAGCCCTCGTCGAGGGCAAGTTGGCTTCGAGGAATATTGAGAACCCGGCTCCAGATTACAGCGAGTTTGTCCTCAGTGGCACTTGAAGGAAGCGTGGATTTATCCGCAGGCAAAGACCTGGCGCTTATAGCTTGAGCATACGGGTCTCGTTCCATATCTCCAATCCATCTTGCGGTCGCTTTTCTGTCCAGCTTTCCAGACGGAAGCAACGGTAATGCCTCCACACATAGCCAAACAGAGGGGACCATGTAAGTTGGTAGCTTGGCTGATAATCTCTCGCGAACTTCTGCAACGATGGAGGTCTTCTTCGATGCATCGAGGAGTTTCAGTGGTGCTGCGTTTGATTCCGTTTGAGATTCGAAGTGAACAGATAAGGATATGACCGCCACCAATTTGCCTGCAGAGAAACCTGTTTTTGAAAGGAAAGCTAGACAATGTGTGACAATTGGGTCGGCAGCCAGCTGATTTTCTATCTCGCCCAGCTCGAGCCTCTGTCCGTGAAACTTCACCTGCGTGTCCTTTCTTCCTATATACGTCAGTGAGCCACAGTCGGAGTTGTATCTTACCAAATCACCCGTCTTATACACTCTCCTGTTATCATCATCGATACCGTCCCTTCTCATCCAGGCCGGATTATGGATAAATGATTCACTCGTCTTCTGTGGCTTGTTGAGATAGCATCGAGCGAGCGTCGGTCCCTCGAGCAGTAATTCACCCGGACAACCCACCGGTACTAATTGGTCATGATTGCTCGGGTCTACAACCCAGCAACGTACGCCCACGGGGAGTCCAATATCCCGACAATCAGAAGAAGGTGTGACTTTGTCATTCACAACGGCGGCGACAGAACTTTCTGTGGGACCATAGGCGTTGATAAGATGGAGGGCGGACGACCATGTTTCCAGTTGACCTTGCGACATTGCCTCACCAGCAAGAATCAAGGTCTCAAGACCTGGGACTTGCGCAGCTTCAATGAACTCGACGAAGGAAGGTGTCAAGATGGCATGATTTACGTTCATTTCGTTGATGACCTTGACTATGTCACTCAAGCGTTCTTCTTCACTCGGTATACAGACGCAGCCGCCTTGCAACAAGGTAGTCAATATCTCGACAAGGCTGGCATCAAATGTGTGCGCTGCAAACTGCAAGACACGCGAAGTCGAAAACATATGATGCGGTCCAGCATGGGCAGCGGCTCCGGATACATAGGCTCTGTGCTCGAGCATGGTACCCTAAACGCGGGCCGTTAATGTGGGTTTAGGGGAGGTTCCGAAGATAGCGAGCGCACCTTGGGTTCTCCTGTTGATCCAGAAGTAAATATCACGTAGGCTGCATTGTGACCTCGTACATCCGGCAATTGAGGGATATCTTCAGCTGGAAGGGAGATTTCGTCTATGGTGGCCTGGTCCAGAGGTATTATCATCTCCGCTACTCTGGACAAATCTCCTATCCGATCTCTAGAGCAAAGCATGATCTTGGCTTTTACAGCGCGCACCAGCGATTGTAAGCGAGAGATTGGATGTGTTGGATCAAGGGGGACGAAAGCACCGCCAGCTTTCAAAACACCCAGCATTGCCACTACATTCCATTTCTATGAGAATCAATCAGTACCAAATTCCGAAGCTGCCGAGAATCGCCTGATGACACAGCCTAGCCAAAAGAACATTGACGATCTCTGATGGCCGACTTACTGATTTGTTAAAACACAGAGCGACACATGTTTCAGGACCGACTCCGTGTGCGTGAAGGTGATAAGCAAGTTGGGATGACAGGACATCTAGATCTTGGTAGGTCAAACTTCCATCCCACGCACAAATTGCTTCGCTTTTGGGGCGAGCCAGGACTTGCTCATGAATGACCTCGTGTATGCAACGGTCATGTGCCTGAGGGGTAGTAGAGTTGAATTTGCAGACTCTGGACCAATCTCGATCCGAGAAAAGGTTCAGGTCCCTCGCGGCGGTGTCTTCTGCCGAGAGTACGCTTGAGAGTATCTGCTCGAAGTAGTCGGCAACGCTCTTCATATGCTCAGTGGACATGTCATTGTTCCACCATTCAAAGAAGATACCGACATCCTTTTGCAGGACTTTGACGTGCAGTCGAACGCGGCACTAAAGAGGGGTCAGCCAGTCAGTCCGGGCCAAAAGACCAAGGCTACCTGCAGCTGTGGGCTGATAAAGCGCACACGAGCAAAGTTGGGAGGGGAAAAGGGGAGATAGAGCGAAGGGAAAGTGAGAGGACACCAGAGAACGAGGAAAGTCACCCACCTTTTCGGGCAAGGGAATTGCCAAGGCCGGTTGCACAAGAGGGGCTCTGGGGTCTTTCGTAACACTGCGACAGTTGCGCAGCATTAGAAGGGTATTGCACAGGGTATAACTGTGGCAACTCGAGCTTGAATTACCGCATTTTTCAGCGTCATTCTGCTGCTTCGTGTTGCGCAAAATGGCATGAACAGAGTCGTCCTCGGTGATGGTCAGATTAAAAGTTAAGGGAGTATTATTATGGGTATCGAAAGAAGGAACAGTATCGCGGGGACCGGCATTGACTCCAATCGGTTGGTAACCAAAGCAGATGTCCTCTAGGCCAGTATAACGATGAAGAAGCAAGGCCCAAGAGGCCTTGAGTAAAGAATCTAACTCGGATTGGTCCCAAGCGGCTAGCAACTGGAGAGTTTGGGAAGAACTCGTCCTGATCCTCAACGAAGCAGGCCGCCTTGGCCCATGAGCTCTCGTGCCAAACTTAGGCAAGCAACAAGAGACAGGTTGGGCCATGATGTAGATGGGGGGTATCTGAAAGTATCTCTCTGAGGATTTGGGATGGGACACCTAGAGGAGAAGGGGAAGGGAGTGGATGGGTTATCCTAGAAAACTCCAACCCGTACATTATGCTACTTTTAAACTGGAGTCAAATGTGTGCCCATGGAGCCACCATTATCATGGGGCCCCCCGTAATTCTCTGGGCCCAAAATAGATCGGTAGAGAGACCTAGGCGCGGAATTCCCTCAGCAGCATTTTCAATTGCTTACGAGCATCGAAATACGAAAATGACGGCGGCCAATGACTGGGTCGGGAAGTAGTGCAATGAATGGCGTGGATTTGGCCACCACGCTAATACAGTATACTCCATATGCCCTTGCTTAGGCGAAGCCGAAGAGGCAACAGGGAATAGATTCCATGGCTTACAAAGTTCTGCAGGGCGCTTGAACCCAAAAGCTGATGGCGTAAACCATCAGACTCGGGCTGCCCACTTCTTAGTGTATCTCCCAGGGGTGGATATACAGGAAAGGCAACGAGACAAAGGACCAAAGAAAACAAAAAAGGAATTGATGATGAGAGTGAGAAAAAAAATTGTGATTTGACTCTGGGCAGGCCAAATCCAAATCAAGGAAACCGGCGTTGACACGCTGGACAATACAATACAGGCCAAGGCATGACGTTGGTTAGTGCACAAAATCGGGGCGCATAACGAGGGCGTATCCAGTGTTGGGTGCATAATGTCGGCTCTCAATCAAGCCGGAGGTTCGAGGTCGGTCTCGAACGCTAAACAACATTCGATTAGGAACTCTGTCTGTCAGAAAGGCGCTGCATAAGCATCCAGCTCCACTACATGCCGGAATTGATGGTACAGTACAGGACTGACAGACTGCATGCTGACCAGTAGTAAGACTTCCGGGAATAAATTCGGCGAAGTGAAAGGTCTCAGCGGTCTTAGTCTCGACGTTGGGCCAAGTCACCAGGAGGTATACCTACCTGGGTAATTGCACGTAGCGGCTATAACACTAGTAAGTGTACTCAGAAATATGTCGGAGAACTGTCGGAGTGGTAGGGAGCGAGTAGGAAGCCCCGAAACTCAGACACTGCAGGCGAGTAGGGAAAAGAGATCCAGGTTCTACTGGGGGGGAAGTGGACACGGAGAGTGGTGGACGGTGAAGTTGCTGCTCACTGACCGGGTACAAAAGTCCAGTTCCTGATCGGGAAGCTAATACTCGGATCTAATTGGGGCTTGTACGGCTCCATACCCTAAAGCCGGCTCTAGTCGATAATATGCCTTGTTATGAGTATGGATCTCAAGTCCAACTGAAACTCGTATACGTTCACCCCACAACCAGGGGCTAGTATTCCTTTTTTGAGTGGAAGCGAAAAAAAAATAAATCTTCCGGACTCGGAGGGGGGGATAAGAAATTAACAAAAAGAAAAAGCGAAGAGGGTCTCACATGATAGGTACCTTTTTTTCGTCACTTTCCTTGCACGCGATTTAAACCTGAAAATTGAAGTCCACTTATGCTGGGACTTACAGAATACTCTCGTTTTACATATTTTCAGTATTCATCATGTACTCCGCAAAGTATATTGGATGATTTGGATCAGGTACACCCAGATAGGGTGGGTGTCAAGGCGGCAACAATGTATTAAAGTTATTAACAGCGGAGTTCACCGTTTCCCCTTTTAGGTGGTAAAGACGGTCAGACCGTCGGAGCAAAGCTAGTGCTATTCTACCAATAGATATCCTTATATTAAGTACATACAAGGTAGTAACATTACTAAGATGATAGATATCTGAAGCGCATGAGTAAGCTATTAGCATGACTCCTTCATATGCCAAATCTAAATCCGACGGATCACTCCAACGGAGAGTAGGATAGCTTCTAATGCAAGATGACGAATTGTTCAACACCCACAACTGAACTGAACCAGACAAAATTTGAGAAAGGAGAGTTCTTTGGTAGGAAGCTAATTGCTATTTCAAGCTTGCTCCGAAGTTGCTACTACGTACGTACTAGCGGCAGCGAGATTTTCACCAACGGCATTGCATCAATGCTGCATTGAACACGAGAGTTCAGCCCTTGCGTTCCTCCGCGGTGGCCACTTGACGTGTACATACGCTTGTGGCTATCCGAATAGATCGCTATGTACGCATAAACCTCGCTACATATACTCCGTGGTTAGGGTTTGTTGATGGGAAGATCGGTGAAATTGAGTTCCATAAATCGATCCTGTATGGAGGGAGCCCTCAAATTGCCATTGGGTAGCCAATGTTTACCGTGAACCCAGCATGTACCCCGAACTCTATCATTGGCCACTCAACTTCTACATCGGGCTGGATGGTTTCCGACCGCTGCGGCGATTAGTTATCGGATCAAAACCTTCCTGGCATAAATAGCTGATACCTTCGGGAGAGTCTATGCGAGCTAAAAATCAATAACCATGCAAGGATAGCAGGGGGCTTGAGAAACGGATTCGGCGATTCGGATAATTGAGGCCATAGGAAGATGAGAATGGGGTCGTTAGTACTGCATGCTAGCTGTTATATGGATTAGCTGCATATCACAATTTTCCTACCATCACCGCTTGCGAAAACGGGGGGGGGGAAAGAAAAAAGAAAAGAAAAGAAAAAAATCTTTCTTTCTTTTTCCCTGTTTGCTTTTACTTTCTGTCGGAGGGCCGATCCTTCGTCATCCAGGTTTGACAGGCGCGACCCGGATCAATAGGGGAAAAGCAAGGAAAATCGGGGCGATGGGGTCAGGAACGGGCGGGTAAGGACGGAGGTCGATCCTTACTCGGTCCGGGAAGTATCAATCAAGTCGATCGATCGCGCTCAAGGGAGCGAAAAGGCAGGAAAAATTAAAGCTTCCATAGCTTCCGGAGAATAAAGTGCGGCATGTTTCATAGGACCGTCAAAATACTGCTGGTCGCTTGATCATGCCGCGAGTCATCGAAACTACCATTTCTTTGGATTTCAAACATCCCGTATGACAGGTTGTATCAGGCACAATGCTTCGTGATCTCTTCAAAATTGTTGGAATACGAGATTTCCCATTTTACCGAGGACTAAAGGAATACAACGGGTACCTACGGAGCACGGTAAGTGACATGAAGGGCGTTTTCATGATGGGGAGAGAGAAAAAGGAAAAAACAGAGGAAAAGCATTTTGTGTCGTGCGTCGATGTCTTGGTTGACAGTTCACTACTGCAGGCTAGAGAAAAAAGTAAGCATAGAGAGGTTGGCCCCGGCCTGGCGTCTAGGCTTTGGGTTCCAGCCTATGATCTAAAAATCGCGTCGATGACAGGATCTGCGCCGAGGGGAGAAGGAAAGGCCAAGTCGTGTGGATTTTCCTCTAGACAAGTCGGGGATAGGGGCTGAATAGCACTGGGAATTAAGATGTGGTCGAGAGCGACAACGGGGGGGCCCATCTAGCACCGATGGGGTTTGGGGGGGGTTCTCCCGCCCAACAGGCATCCAAGGCATTTTATCTAATCACTGCTTTGTACATAGATAGTTAGTCAGTTCCGGAGGGCCTAATTAGTTAGGTAGTTACCTAGTTAGTAGTTACAAAGCAGTAAAGGAACGCTCAAGTCAAGTTCTGCCAGGCTGCCAGGCGGGTCACGGCAGCCGGAAGCCTTCCGCAGTACTAAAGGCTTTACTATACTGTAATTGGGAGTGGCCAACCGCCAAAGCCATCCCATCTCCACTTCCGCTACTAACGAATGCGATTATCCAAGCTTGAGGCCGTGTGTAGTCAACTTAACAGCACACTTAATGGTGGGTATGCAGCCAACTTTCAGCCACTAAATCCTTCGCAAAGATGCAAGGAATTTCTGCCGATTAATTGTCCATCTACTGGTACAGTGGTCGTCCACTGGTGTCCTAAACAGTGAGCGCCGCTCTCTCCTTCTGGTTCTAGTTCCTGGGCGCCTCCCTACCATGGACGTATGCTCTTCCGTACCCACTCACACACATACACACATACACCCACCTCTCGACAAAGCAGGTACCAAAGGTCTGCTGCCCGAGATTCCGGGTGTAAACAATCAACTCTCAATTGCTATCCCGCTTGTGGCGACCATCCTACCCGTCCTACCTTAGGTCCTCAGCCACTACTACGTTGAGTGCTTCTACACACATAAGGGTAGAAACAACGTTACACTTCGCTTGCAACTAGCTTGATGACTGGAAGCCTTTAGCCTCCGGATCATGGTCGGATTTATTGACCGATTAGACCAAATGTTTTGCCACCATGTTTCTGTTCTCGTGAGACTGGACACAAGTTACTCAATAGTCAGTTGACTGCGGTATGTCCCTATGTACCCAATGTCATACTCCTGGTAGGTAAGCATCAGTTCCCCTAAAACTGGTCTTTAAAACTGTGGATATGGGGGAGCGATATCCCTGATTCGATGGCAATTCTCGTCGGAATTGCCATCTAGTGGAGTGACATGGCCGATATGTCAAGTTCAGCCGTTCCCTTGCTGTTCGTTGTAGATTCGCAAAAGCGCCCTGTTATGATGACGTCTATATCCTTTTCGGATTTGGCAGGATCAACACGAAGGGGGTTTGCAAGGCAAACTCTATCTGGCAATCTCGGTTATATCCAGGTTTCGCATCCCACTGCGGGGAAAGCTGGGTTGGAAGCTTTATGAGGGATAAGATTCAATACTCCAGAGTTTAGCGGTCAGTGGCCACCTTCGGTGTCATTCGGGATTTGAATCACGTCTGCCACTTTGTGTACGGCATTAAAATGGGCTTCCAGACCGCTCACTAGTAGTTGAAGCGCCTTTTCAGTGGACTGGCTTGCTTTGAGGCAGGTAGATACTACTGGATCCTAGTACACAACTTTCCTATTTTTGATTCGGTCCGCTCGTGGCCTTTTTTGCCCACGTCTGACGGATGGAACAATGGCTTGAGAACAATGGTCGGGAAGGTACACTATCCCATTAGCGAGCTTGGCCCAGCGGGCTCAGTTCAGTCTTCGGACGGATGGGATGGTTAGCATCGAAAACAGTGGGGGCGAACTACGAACTGGGATTGATTTTTCGTGTACCTGCTGAACTTGAGGAGCGCCTCTCATCAGCCCGATGGGCTATGTAGGCTCGAACCGAACTCGTGTTGGCCGGTCGTGGTCCCATGAGCAGAAAAAAGTCATCGTTACGTTACATGCGAGGGCAAGGAGAATTGATAGCCTATAACGCTTGCGCGAGGCAAGAAAAGCAATGATGCGAAGGGGACCGGGGAAAAAGCAAACATGCATTTGAGCAGGAATTGGGTGGAACGGGCCGAATCATCTTGCTCGAAGAAAAGCTCGCTTTCCTTAACCATTCATGGATGCGCTGGTGCAGAGCCCAAGGTGGATCTCCAGCCGAGCGCCCTGGGGACTCTGCAACGTAGCTAATCGCCATCGGCAAGTACTTAGTTCCAGGTGGAGTCCGGTATGGATTAATCAAGAAGTATTATTCCAAAATAAGATGGAAAATACGTAGTCCCAATTTAGTAATCGAAACGCTTAAACCCATGCGTAAGAAAAAAATAAAAATAAGAAAAAAAGGAATGAAAATAAAAAATTAAAACAATACAATGGGAAAACTGAGACATAGTATTAGAAATAGCATACTTATTATATCATTGCATGCGAGGACAATCGGACTAGCACTGCCCTTGATCATGAGGCCCTATCGATTAGTATTAGGTATTTACAATGGTTAAGAAACTAAAAAAAAAATGCACATCCCTGGAGAGCTGGTAGTCTAGGCTTCGTAAGGCAAAAAACAAAAGGTTGCAAGTCAACCTCAGTAAGACTTGCTGAACATAAAACCTAACAATCTACAGTGATTCCCTGTCGCCCCAAGAGCATATCGTTGCATCCCACTCTGG